TATACGGTGCACGTTCAACCGTGACACCATGGCCACCGACGGAGGAGAGGCGAAGTGGCGCTTTGACCCAGATACACACTACTGAGTATCCCCGAAACTCGACGGAGGGGATAATTGCGTGGGCGTCATTATATACATGTTGTGTGTGTGCTTACTGTTTGTTTGTGTGCGTCGTATACCTACCCTAGAACGCAATCGATTCGAGTGTATACACCACCCCTGACCCAGGTACGGAACTCGCCCTATATATTATAATAATAATATATAAAAGGGTATGCTGCGAGAAGAACCGTCACGCCGCTCTAACTCGTTATAGTTTCTCATAGGAAAACGAGTAAAGAATGAAAGTTTTCAATGACACTGACGGCGAAAACACAGCACGTGATAAGACTTTTACGCGTTCGGTGTTTGGATATGGTTAAATACATGGAAATAGACAAGAAATATATCAAGTAAAATATTGTTGAAAAAAATAAAGAAACTCCAACAATCTTGTTTTATTAAAAATATTGACCGTGACATGTTGACTTACTTTAAAGTATAATTTACTTCTAAATGTAACAGATTTTTAGTCGTTTCTGTACAAATTAATGTGATTGCATTCACTCAATTAAAATTATCCTCGCTAGACTATATTAAAACAATAAATTACGTTAACTGAGATGTTTATTATTAAAATATATAAATTAAATATATAGACCACACAATGTGATTTTTTGACAGAACTGATTTTAGACTAAATCATATAATAAGACTCACATTTTTCGGGTCCACTCGTTATCTATGTGGATCGCTAAATAGTATACGGCACGAGATCAATGCTTTCAAAAACTCTCTTTAATTGTATTAGTGTACTCATTATATTAATTAAATATGCCCTACTGAGTACTGAATACCATTCAAATATCAAAAGAATGTCGTTATCCCTTGACCCATAAAAAATTGACTTTTTAAAAATAAAATTATTACTGATTAGTGCACAAATCCATATTACTATTCATGAAAAAAAAAATTAAGATTTTTATCTTCATTCGATGATAACTATACATTATATGCACCGATGCACGGTCGGCGATAGTGTTTACCGTTAAAATTATATGCAATAATTTCGGTTGAGTTTTATATGATTTCAAAACATTCAACGATCTCGTGTTCTTTTATCTGTAACAAATGACAGTTATCATTTTTTACTTTCGCAAACTACATCATTCAACACGAACATTTAAAAAATATATTATAATTTTGTCAGATAGTGTGAAGATTGAAAATTATGAATTATTTAGACTTATGGGGTCATTATTATTTATCGGGTCATCGATCGGTAGTAATATTGTAGGGACATACCTTACTATGGTTGGCCGGTATCAATATGTAGTGGGAGATATAATTTACCCAAATCATTAAACTGAAAATTAAATCAGAATGAGTTCTTCGATCAAAAATCGAATGCTCATTAGGAAAGTAATGTATTCGACTTTCTTTGTCTTCGTTAGTGTCTTAACTCTAACTTTTGTTGATTTACTGCCCGGCGGGTATATCGTAGGGTATATTGAATAATTTATAGAGAATCTGCGCGGATTTGCATGTAAACAAACTCAATACCAAATAGTCCATGACAATAAAATTAGTAGATATTTAGATAAAGAAAAATAAAATAGTAAGAGCCGGTTCACTCATGCATTTCTGACACCGTACAACAGCATTACCTATGTCGTTCGTTTAAAATAATTAAAATTAGTAAAAGGCGTATTTTTTTAAGTATCTTGAAAATATTTAGTTTAATAACGATATCTATTTTTATTTATATTGTACACGTAACATATATTACACATATCCAAATTTTTTTTAATTATTGCAAATTTTTTGAACAATCTATTTGAAAGTTATTCGAGTATTTTTCACTTGAATAATGTGTTATCTAGATGATTATTTAGATAAGTACCGTACTTAAGGTACGTTATGTTTGAATAATGCACAACTCTGACTATAGTCAGCCCATTCAATGTTAAGTCCTAGCTCGCGTTAATACATCATAAAGAAAAAACATTTGAATTTTACTAAATCATCTTTTTTTAAGACTTCTAATTGCAGTGTTTTCAAAAACCGTTTAACTGGACGACAGCGGCAATTATATATATATATATATATATACAAATAATCGTTTGCAGTATACTACCGAACAACCAATTACATCAATTACGATAAAAATAATTTGTCATGCCTCTGGCTACATCAATTACCATTATCGTACAAGTTTAAGTACGGTACCAAAAATGAGTTTTGTCAATTTCTTCGTTGAACTACAGCAAAGTATATACATATATACATATTTATATAATATTATGACAGTTTATCAGCTATCGCGTTACAACGGAAACGTGTCGTATGAAAGTGTATTCGTTTTTTCTTCTTAATAGCCCACAATAAATCTAATTATTATTACTTATTATACCATTTAGATATCGTTTAAAAATCGTTGGGCAGACTTCTAGGTTCTGTCTGCAATTAACATTAATAATATTTCGTATTATTGCAAAAAGCTGATGTTTGCACGAAAACATGTATTGTATGTATTTGTACATTCAGTATAATTCATTATGTTATTGTGTTTAATTACATTTGAGTTTCCAAATAATTACCGCGACTAATGTGGTTTAAATTCATTACCAATTAGGTAATAACAAATAACACATACATGTATTTTTAATATCGAATTTCGTAAGTTAAAAAATAACAATAATCTAAAACGCTGAACACGTCCTTTTATTGACTCGTTGCGGTTTTGGTCTTAAATGAATATCAGTGAGTAATTTAAACCTGTAGACAAGAACAGATACAAAATTCTAGAGCAGCACAACCGTTATCAACATATGTTAAACCATCACATTGTATTACGGAGCTTTCGCCGTTCCTATGGAGTGTAGACTGAGGCGGGCTGAAGCCTGGGTTAGTAGTCTATTGTGTCCATGGTCCAGAGAAATAATATCTTTGTGATTTTCATGGTCAAATTAAACATGAAATAATAGTAAACCTCTAAGACATAAGTACCCAGTACCTTCAGCTTTCCTTTTCAAAAAGAAGTTTAATTACGGTTAATAAATTAATACTTTAATTGTATAAATCATGTGTGCTTGTCGATTGCCGAAGCGAAGAAAGTCGTAACTCTATTTTTACAACTTTTAAGCGGAGGAAAACCAAATTTTCACCTACTATTACTTTACTATGTATTCTTATACAATTTTCCTATAGTCCTAGATCGATTTTTACAAAACCGTGTTTTCTATGCTATGTATTATCGTTAAACGCGAGTATATTAATTATATTATAGTATATTAATGACTGTGTGTGCTCGGTTGGGTTGGCACAGGTAAAGGTCGTCGATGGTGACAAACGGACACGTGGAACGGAATGCTTACCTAAAAATAATATCAACACACGGCCATGGCGATGGTACCCCTACACCGTGCTTCTTTTCTTGTACAATATGTTTTCCTTAAAGTGTACCTACACGCAAGCGCCAGTTTAAAACCGCACTTTGCCAAAAAATCCTGCGAAAATATGCCTCTTGCCGTCGCGGTATCATACATATGGTATATCATACAGTATAGTAATAATACAATATTAATAATAATATAAAAAATATATATGCCATCACAACTGTTATTCACAATATTCACAATACCGAGAGTTGTCGATTACGTAAAAATTGCATTGGCCAGTTTAAATTTATACTATTATCTTAGCACACATACACTAAAAGTGTGTAATAATAACCCTGAATTCCTCTATTTGGGTGTGCTGAACATAATCCGTGACGTGCGCCGGCTAAAATACGTTGCACCGCGGACACTGTATTATTATGGTCCCATTACTCATTTTTTCCATCTACATGTAGTAGCTAAAGTTAAATATACAATCTGAAGCTAAAGAATAAAAAAAATATGTTGTGAACCGCTGTGATGTGTACACAATGACATTTATAAAACGCATACGTCGAAAACAGTCTTCGGCAATCTCCTCCCACACAGTTGTCAAGAGAAAAAGTGTTGTTTTCTTATAACACAAATGATGTTATTACTTTTTTCTGGTTGTTTATATTGAATGATAATTAATATTTATGATAAATTATTGTTGCAAAATGGATATTTTAAAGCGAGCCAATAACGCGACCTAGAAAATTAAACGGTTCCCGTAAAATGATTATATGTGACAACTCAAAACAATAATTTAGTATCGATATTAGTCTTCTTCGTTCTAATAGTTTTTCTGTAAGGACATTTTTTAACTCTATGAGTGTCATATTACAAACGTTAAACACGCGTTATTAATTCATACAACACGATTCAATGCATTGACTATATTATGCTAGACTAGGAAAATTATAATTTTCACTTTCAAGCGTTTGTTTTTTAGGGAAAACTCTATAATAAAATGTTCACCCTACTCGTATGTCGTTAACGAAATAAGAGTAGGATATGATCAAACCCGTTTTTGTTTCCACACCTGAACTCGAGATTTAAATTTTAATCGATGTAATAATTTAGCAACAAAAAACCTGAACTGCTTCGCAATTTTCGTTTTCAAGAATAGTTACAGATGTTTAATTTAATCCAAATTAAACTCTATAATTAGGTTATTCTATACCATTCAGTATCACAGTACTATTATTAATACTTAATAACGCTTGTGTAATTAGCTTCAAGCTGTACATTTTATAATGCACATAATTTACTAAACGTATAAATAATATTTGTTTTCACATGTACCTTTATTTATATACAGCATGATTCTTTGACGATAAGACATAAAAATAATTTCAACTTTATAGGTTTGTAATTTCAATATTGTAAAATAACATAAACTAGTGTCTCTAAAAAGGAAAACTACAAAATTGCAATTATTTTAAGAGAAAAGAAGTGTCTTATATTTAATGAATCACTCTGTTTTTATGTATGTATAATATATATATATATATTTATTTATTTTTTGATTTGTTACAGAAATCTCGCTTTTGGGAGCTTGAGCCTACGTGTTGTGATAAATAAACTGAAAACCTTGTTTTATTCACTACGAAAACGCGACTCCGTTAATTACAACTTTTAGTAAACACTTTCTAGGTAAGATTATTACACTAATTCTACATCTTATCTACTTACTTTATTAGTTTACATCGCCAAATGGTTGTTGTTACTTTTCAGACAAATACCCATTAGTATTTATAAATTATAAGCAATAAATTTATTAGAAACTATAGAATATGTGACTTATAAAATAGTTTTAAGGTAACTATACATGGATAATAGGACAGAACTATACAAAATTTAGGAGAGATGCCACGTATTTCACGTGATACTTTCTTTGCTTAACCGTAAAAAAGGTTTCTAACAAATTTTGTTGACCAATTTAAGTTTCTCTATCCCGCGTCTTCGTCAAATTTCTTTGATGCTATTACTCGTAGTGTCAAAATAACACATGCCACCAAAGCTAAACAACACGTCACTACTATTTTCGCTTTACAATTACCTTTTGTTACCGCAGCGCATAAATTATGTTAGCCGACATCCTCTTGCTTTCTCTCTTTCATATCTATACAAATATATTACATTGCAAGTGCAGTGTTATTAAAGCATCGTCAGCCCAACCAAAAACACTGTTGACTATATTTTTTTCTATTTAATTTCTTAAGCTTTATAAAAAATTTTTAACCTAATGTTATAAGTGTTAAAAAATATGTTGTAATTAGTTAAAGATGGAAACTCGCGTTTTTTTTTTATTAATAGATTTTGTAATTTTTAAGTAATAGTCACAATGTAAGAAATACACAAAATAAGTGTTCTCTCTTTTTTATTTAATTAACCCATCGTCAAGTAAAAGTATGTCATAATGTAACTAAATGAAAGAAAATATACTTAACTAAATAAACGGAATTATTGATCTAATACAATTTCTTTTAATTCTAAGAACTTACATTTTTATAGTTACAAATAATTGTTTATAAGACATTAGTTATTTACTTAAATATTTCAATAAAAAAAGTTATAGTCTTCTTAAAGGCTAACGGCTAAAATTATAAAACATGGAATATGCTTTAGCCTTCTGGCTCCTGAATAGTGATTATTTCTGATCTATAATCTCCTTGCGATTTATGACGATAGTATAGTCTTAATTATATGTTTTGGTCAAAACATTTGCATGACGACGACTTTTTATATTATACGTTTAATGTAGATGCGCTCCTTTGTGACGTTTTCGAGCTGGGAGGCGAAGGCTAAAGCATGTTCCATGCTAAAAGTCTATTGATCGTTATCGATATAAAAAGAGATCAATAATATTTTTGTAATAATCCGGATTTTAGAGGTCCCATCCATAGTAATAATAGTGTGTTCAATGTCCAATTTATGAATTATTGTTGGGCGCAACATAAGCGTAGTCACGTTTATGCCAAACAGGTCCGGCCGGTCGGGTGAATAGTGACGACAAAATAGTCTCGTGACATTTCGCCATTATAATAATTATTACCGTTGACAAGAACAAATGTAATTGGACAACAATTATTATTATTATCGCGGTACCTTGTATACTTCTAGTTATTCAATGTACCTACATTTTATCGAAATAAAAAAAACAAAACCGTTTCAGGATTTTTAGGTTTTACAAATTAATAAACACTGTAATGGCTCCCATTTGTGTCCCCCGAGTTAATCGCCCATATGCAAATGTGTTCTATAATCGGGTTAGGCGTATAAACGACGGAATACATAGCAAAACAATATTGTGTATTTGAGCCGGACGAAGTTCCCACATAATTAAAATTCAAACCGCTAATAATTATATAGTGCAGTAGATAAGCTATATAAACACAGGACCTGCGGATCCTTGACCGAAAAACCAAAATGGGAAAATAATTACTAGTATTTTACTATAAACTGACGCCGGACGGTTGATGGAATTGTATTTGACTGCGTTGTGTGCAGCTATTATATTGTCGTATCCCGGGAAGCGGCCGATTAGCCATTAATAATCATATTGTCGTATCTCGTGATGTGCTGTGGGTCGCCGGATTCCGAGCCGGGTCGGTCAAATAAGTATACGATTATAATTAAGCGTGGAAAACGCCAATGCAACATTGACACAATAGCAGTGCGTAATGATATTTATGACGATAAAGAATATAATAACTGAAATCAGTGAATGTCTTAATGATTGTGGTTTTGCAGTTGTCTACACAGTAGCATAGTCCAAAATAGGGTCAAAGTGCACAGCGAATACGCAAAAAAGTGAAGAGGGAAAATGAAAATGGTGCAACACTCGTTTAGAGTTCTGATAAGAGTTTATATAATATTAATTATTATGTAAATCGATTCGAAGTTTTTATCTATTGGCTTTTTTTAACTGAACAAATATTACTGTTTACTGAGCTACATTATTGAATAAAGCCCGGTGGTCTAAGCTAAAGCAACTTTTACCTCTTGTTTCAATGTTCATCACACTAAAAATTCCATTGCGATGTATTAGTGTTAGAGTTTAAAACCAACTGATATGTTAAAAAATGAAGATTCCATTACTTAAATTGGAACAAATAAGTGGGTGAAGGTTAGACCTTTTAAACTTACTAAAGTTCCCCTAAATTCTACATCTTAACTGGCACAGTTCCTGAAGTAACTTTATTATTATTACAGAAAGGGGACATCAGACTTCCAGATAATTTTTCTTATTCGCTCTAACGACGGTTCAAAATAATGTTTTTTTTTTCATAACATTGTTTGATTTAACAAAATTGTTATTGAAATCTGCCAGGTAGTTTGGAGCGTAAAATATATTTTCATTTCAAATAGATATTATAGTTCTGCGGTTCTTATACTCGTTCCATAGTGAAACTTTATACCTCCACTTCTACACAATGATAATATATTTTAGTTGAAGACCTCGACATGGACACCCGAAGTGTGCGCGTTATCATCGTCAACGGTCAAAGGCGCCTAATACACAATAATATATTTCAACGTTAAGTTATAGTAATAATTATTATACGGTTGGGTCATCGTATTTTCGCTTTTTGATAACCGCTGATGTTTTACAATTGGGCTTTTGATTTTCCACACTCGATATAAAGTTGCAATATTGGCCGCTACTTCCAAAAACTAAACGCAGAGCACGGCCGGTTTCCTGCGGGGAGTGTTGTAACTGCCATGGGCCACGTGTTGAAAACGTACTTGCATGCGCTTAATGATTTCCTCATAACACTAAGATAACGCCGTACTAATTGTATGTACTATTATTAGTATGATTTTTTTCTATGCTACTGCACTCTTCGGTCAAATAACCACCGTCATCGTTGCCGTTGAGTAATTCTGTCGTCTGACCTTTCCAAAAGAGTTTAAGGTTGCGCTCCACGTCGGTGTGGTGTTTTTTTTACATTCGCCACGTTCGCCAGTCTTTTTTGAGAAATTAAAAGACTAAAGTTTCTTCCTATTGTAAACGTTACTTAGTTGTTGGTCTTAATAAAAATCTAATCAGGAATTATAAACTAAAACAAACAAATTGATTTTTCTATAAAAAAAAAGCGCTGCGACAGCGCTGTCTGTCGTGAGTGCTGAAGATGACAACATTGTTGCCGAAATACGACGTATTCGCGGAGAATACATAATTTTTATGGTTAAGGATTTTTATTATTATTTTATTACATATAACCATAAGTGCTTAAGTTTTTTCTTGATTTTTCTATAATTGAATTTGTATATTTAATTTAAGCATTAGGTATAACAGGCATTTTACATTATAACGGTAACATCTCTTTAAACAATTATATTATATTGATTGACAATTTACTGCGCTGAAAATTATATTAGCCCTAAATAATTAAAAAACCACGGTGATATATTTTTGTTGTTAATAATATAGTATAACCTAGCTGCGGTGTAATTTTTTAGTTTCGATGTACTGATTCACATGAAATTTGTAGCGAATTTATTACGTGCTGGCGCTATTATGGTAATTTAGAATGTGTTCAGCTGCCAGTTCGTATACGAGTTTCAAAACATATTAAACTGAACCGTTTGATTTAATTTTGTCTTAAACGCACTTATACTAAATTAATGTTGTTTATGATGTCACTGTAAAATAAGAACTACGGTATACTTCATTTTATAAGAACGATAACTTTTGAACCGTTTATTATGAAGTCGAAATCAACTTATTCGAATAATATACTTATACGAATCCAAAGTGTAGTGAGTTAAGGAATAAAACCGTCAATATCGCGTCACACTTCAAGCACTCACCTCCAAAATTAATCTTTCTAAAGCTGAATATTATAATAAAGTTATATACTTCTGTCTTCAAGGGTAGTGTATAAAGCAATACTGAAAATTATAATAAATTGATTATTGTTTGGTTCGTTTAACGCGATAATATAATTAATGTACCTAGATGTAATTTATGAAATGCCAGTTTTTTGGACTATAAGTACAATATATACTATATAAACGCAATTAAAATTATGGGTTATGTTTAGTGTATCAAGTAGTTCAGTACGGCTTAATGATAGAGATAGTGATAGTGGTAGTTAATCAGGCATGGAAGTACAAAACATAGCAAATATGCCAATGTATAAAACGGAACCAGATAGATACTATTGATCTCAAATGTCAATGTAATGTAAGAGTTATTTAAATTTTCAATGGTAAGCGTTTTTACTGCAGCTGTTTGTGTTGGCGATTCCTGATTTATGTATATTGGATTTTCACGATGCATGCGCGTTGTCATCATCAAACTGTAGTGATCATTGTAATAATAACATAATTTGAAAGATACAAGACAGTTAAACTCAAAAAAAGGCCGCAACGATCATTTAAATACATTTTGCAGCACTTTACAGAAATACAAACAGCATAATATATAATACATTAAATAGACAATGGTGTATGATAATATATTTAAAACTATGCATTACTTATAAAACATTAATTACTCACAGCGTGTCTCGCTAATAGACAGAGTAGGACCTCTAATCAAAAATGTTTTCATAGTACCTTATTATTCGAATATAAATGTATTAAAAATGCCTATCATTCAACACTGATAAGTATATCTTCGTCACATATTTCTGCTCTGATCC